TCGGTAGAAAAGTTCTATTTTCAAGAAATAATTAAATATTAACACAATGAAGTTCGATAATCTATAATGTATAATATCTATAAAGAATCATCTCAAAGCATAAAAAAGTATCCTAAATTCCTAATGTTTAATGCTATAAAGCTAAGCATACTGTATTTATTATTTAATTTTTTAAAAAGAATGTTGTGGTTATATCTTAATTTTCTTTGGTGAATAAAAATATCCTAAATAGACAATTTTAATACTGTACCTATGTTCTGGTTTTATTTATGTTTATTATTGCATCGGATTCACCTTAAGGTTTTATTTCATATAATTTTTTGTCAACCATTTTAGTAGAAAAAAAAATATAAATAATAAATAACAGTGTACTATTTATAGTATGTCTCATGTGTAGATCAATATTACTATGTAGTTTATAAGACGTTTGCTGGAAAAATCAATAATAAAACACAATTTGTTCAGTAAAATTTTTGAACAAAAATAATATTATATTATTTGTTGGTATTACATATTAATATTCTATTGCTATAAAATTCCTAATATTTATCATAATATTATAAGTAACTCTAAGATAAATATTTAATTGTGTACCTATTCTATGTTTAAGTAGAATATAATATAATAAAATTATGAATATAATATATTACTAAAAAAAAAGTATTGGACTATTGAAATTATTGTTATTTAAAAAAAAATTTATAGTTAAGATTTAAAATATATAAGATTTGGTAAATTCATTTGTAATTCAGAGGATTCTGAGGAGAATAATAACAATGAGCAATTGATGACTGCGGGACGGACGCGGATCAGTCGAATACGAAACAATTTCAATAACATTAATAAATAATAATATACACAAATACATCAAATAACCACAATACAGAAGTGCATAGCCGTATATAAGGGCGAATAAAATAACAATTGTGATAAACTGATATTTGTAATTTGTATTTTAATTTTGAATCAGTGAGTATAGTAGTGATATTCTAAAATATAAATAGAATAATATTTCGTAATAATCAGTTACAGCATCGGTATTCAAATTTCAAACAAAATATTTTCTTCACATAAAAATACTCGTTAGAATTATAAATAATATAGGTAATTGACTTTATAAAATTCGATGAAACTGATATTAGTTTTAAATTTCAATCGGTTTCAAGAACAGATTTTCAACATTCTATGGTTTCGGTTTAGGTTTTGTCAGGGTTTTTTAAGATTTTAGGTTTCAATTACGGTTTATTAACCGGTGTTTTAAAGCTTTTGGTTTCAGAAAACTGGTTAAACCGGTTTCGATCTCTGGTTTGTATTGTTTTATTATTGTAATTATTATCGTTGAATGTGTCTTGTGAGTTATATGTAGATAAAGCCAGAGCTTTGTCGTACGCCACCTCGTCGGCTACCGAATAATATTTTACACTGCCGCCTTAATTTTTGTCTTTCACCGTAGGTACGTTGTCGAGGCAGTATCGGCGTGTGCCAATATATTGTTATATAAGTATTTAAGTGTTTTTAGTTTACTCAAATAGTAAATTGTATTATTGTGAGCGCCAGAAGGGCCTCTTTATATCGTATTAATTGCCAACTCAAATTGTGGCATATCGCCGTTTTGTATTATACATCTTTAGGATCGGTAACTATTATTATATTTTGTGTGCACTAAGCGCACTGCATATTGTAATTTTATTTTAGCACAGGACCAGCTAGCTAGTCTGCGCTCCACAAACTGTGAGTTTTTCGTTATTTTTACTATTATTTATTTATTATATCGTTTCGGTCGGGCCAGAAAGGCCATTTAATATTATAATTTATTTTGTTCTGTTTGGCCACAAGGGCCGAGAGTTATTAATTATACTTGTACCGTGTAATTGCTGTACTGTTTAATCTATATTACACCATTCATTATACTTTTATTATTATTCTATTATGTTCGGCCATAAGTGCCGCGAATTATCATCTTACTATATTATCATTGTCTGTTATTTAAATCCGTGTATTATACAGCAACTTACCTATGAGTGTTACCATTTTTATTATTTTTGTATACACGCCCACACAAATGCACATAATATTAAACAACACGCACTACATATCCGACAGTAATTGCTAGGCGATCCCGACCACTACTGTTCGAGCTATTACACACTCAGCTTGTTCTTCATATTTCTAGGACTTAGGTGTTAGTTAAAAAATATTAGGAACCCAACTAGTGTAATGACTATAATAAGTAGGCTCTCAACTTGTGTAGGATAGATACTTGAAAAAATCCAGTACCCAATTAGTGTAGTACCTACAACAATCAGGGACTCAACTAAATGTATCTCAATTGAATTTTATCAATAACAGAATAATTATACATTTAAACATCTATTTATAATAAGCAATAACACATTAGCGACATTACAGATACAATATAGTGTACATTATCATTTTCAATTTCCACATATACCTAAAACAATAACCTTAAAAATTAATAGGTAGTTAATTATTTAACTATTGGGTACATAATTATCTTATTTATCTAACAATAATAAAATGTGTGTGGTGGTTATACAATATACATCATAAACTTAATACTAGGAATATTATACAATTAGACAGAACATTTCTAAAAGTGTTAGAAAAAAATATAGTGCCGACAAGATAGATCATTTCAACAAATAAATTGCAACGATAGGTAATAGGGAATATTATGTTATGGTACATAGTATTCAATAAGAAGACATAGGTACTAGTATGCGTATAGTTGAAAATAGATTATATAACTTAATATCGGAACAAATCATTGACATTATTGTTATTACTTATTGAGAGTTTATTTGTTAGGTAACTTTTTTTTTTCTAATAGGTACACTATAAAAAAAACTCATAACGAACAGTTTTTTAGTAGACGCGTTACTATTTACACTTCTGAGATCAATTATTAGGTAATTGATATAGATACATAGATAGGTATTCTATGTTCCGGATAAAGGAATTAAATAAGGAATGTTTTCCTATTATATTTACATGACTCTGTATGTACCTACGTGGTATGTGAGATAAGCGGAATAATAGTGAAGACTTAAAAATAACAAATATAATATACTATGGTCAATTCCGACTTTTGTACATCTACATTTTGTATTCAACAGTATTGAAACAAGGAACCAGTCGATGGAAAAAAATGTGCTTTCAATTATTAGAACTATTTGGAATTAGGTTTTTTTTGCAAAAAAGTATATTTCTTAATATTACTATTCATGATTGGAAATGCGTTTGTTAAAAATACACGGACGATATGAAATGCTAACACCGTAATTAATATCAATGCAGTTTTAGCAGATAATGATACAAAATAAAATATAGTTTATAAATGTATACAGAGTGGTTTTTTTAACATCCATAATGCTCATAATTTTGAAAGGTATTGATTTTTTTTATAAAGGTATTCCGTAGAAACATGCAATACTATTGTCTCATATAGTTTTAGCCTTATTATTTTTTTCACTTTGTATTTGTCAGTAAATCCATTATTGCAACTTTTGATTTTCAAACAGCCACAGCTATAGCTATTTTAATTTTTTTTTTCAAAAACTGAACAGTATATTTTTGTAAAAATGTTGATGCATACAAATATCAAATATTGGACGAATTGGTTATGTATTATGTATTTTAAGTTAAGAAAAGAGGAGTGAAGTGCATGAACACTCCTTTAGATTTGTGGTATACCGTTCTGCTCATCTGGACATCAAATGCAATATTATGAAAAAAAAAAATACTCCTCCAGTATAATATTTGATATGATACTAACATTTTGTTATTATAGAAATAAGCGGCTCAATATAATTTAGTAGTAGTAAACTCAGAATAAGTTTAATGATTAATTTTTCGTTAAATACCATAACAGTAAAAAAATAAGGGCAACATGAAATATTAAAATTGCATGTTATAGACAAAATAATACTCTATGCCATAAACTATGTAATAGTACAATTGTACTGCAATAATACAATGTTTGTAAGTACTACATGTCTAAAATTTACAAACATAATATATATTTAACAGTATCAATAGAATAGGACGTATTGAGATTGTCACCATTCTAAATACATTTTAAATTAAAGGTTTTTGAAAAATAAATCCCATTTTAGTGACACTTCCGAAATAAAGTATACATATGTGCGTGTTTGATTGTATTGAAATATATTATAGGGATAACATTTAAAAAGTATTGTTGTATGACACAAGACGGTGTACAGTCAAGCCACTTCCCAAATTGCTAATGATAAAAAAAATGTTCTATAACAATTTAAAATACAGTACTTATTAAGTTCTAAAAACACAAAATAACAAAACAAAATTATGGTAAATCTTTACAATTGACTAACACAAATAACGTGGGAATACATTAATTTATCTATTATAGGTAGCTTTTGTTTTAGAAAGTCAAACAATAGTACTATAATATTATGTGTATACTTTTGTTCGTTGTATTGATGACTATTATTATTTTGCTTTAATTTATATGTATGTAACTGAATTACGCGTGTGGTTCGTGTTAGGTGCACTTATATTGTAGACTTTCACGACACGCGTGGTGGTGCAGTAGAGCAGTTATCGTTTTCCGATATTTTATGCTATACCTACAAATTATGATAATATTTTTTTTCGTGAGTAATATTTCACTTGAATTGAATGTCATTTACAAGCCGCGTATTTTAAGGAAAATAATCGATATGTTTCCAACTTTTTGACACCCAACCCCTATTCCAAGACGCGGCTGCGTGCGTCCGCTTTTCTCATCGTTTAAAAATTCAAAACGCATTCCACAGACCTGATGAGAACGATAATATTATTATAATAATTTTAAAGGACAATAAACCTAATAGTAAGGCATATTATTATACTGTAAAGGGGGGTTCACACTACACCGTGTCTTGTGAACCCCCCTTTATAATCATCATCCATGCGATATAATTACATTAGGTTGGCATTCGTGTGGTCGGCGCGATCGCTCACACTAGCAGCGGCGGTGAGTCCGCGACCAACGACCACGACAGGGCCACCAGACACAGCGCAATCAGAGCAGCGGGCCCGGGCCCACCGGCAACGGTGGTGGCGGCCGATTCTACGGTGTGGTTGGCGCAGCACTGCAGCGCGACGGCCAGCACCTTGGGGTAGTACTCGTTCCAGAACTCAGGCTCCTGGTCAGGTTGTGACATGTTTGGTACCTTGTCCAGCATCATGGCGCGGGGGCTGCGCGTCTCGTACTCGTCCCACCGCACGTTGACCGCAGCTGACCGGTGTGCTGGGTCGGAGTGCCGGGCGAAGTTTGTCCACATTGCCATCGCGGTGTCTGACATACGGCGGTCGGCGGCGGTCCAGTCGATGGCCGCAGCCGACGGCCAGTATGGCATACCCCACACGACAGGCAGCTCGGCGCCGTGCGGCGCGTCCATCCACTCGGCGGCGGCCGGCAGCGCTTTGGTCGCACGCAGCTTGTACTCGTACCGGTACACGTAGGTAGCGTTTAGACGTGACACGTAACCTGCCACCCGGTAACTGGTGGCCCCGTAAACCTTGTTGGCAGCCATGGTCACATAGTTCCGGCGCAGAGTTTCAGGGTCGTCCGTCTGCCTGGCGTACCGCAACACTAGTGTGTCCACCACAAAGTCGGCATCCAGCGTACAGTTAGCCTCGTCATCTACCACGCCTCCAACACTGCCACCGTCCGAGAGTCCGCTTACAGCTTCACCAGTGGTGTCCGTAGCGACAGGCTGCTGTTGCTGTTGTTGCTGGAGCCGCCGTAGCTGACGCATCCGACGATCGTCCTCGTCGTCGGCCACGACGTCTTCCCTCACTAACGCCTCAAACCGGTCTCTGGTTATGCCTTCGCCGCCACCTCCAATACCGTCTCCACTGTCAAACGCATCAAACGCATCCTCCATCCGATTGTAGCCGATCATGTGCGGAACAGCGGCAAACCGGCCGTCGTCCATAAGCGCGGCCGGCATTTCAGGTAGAAACGGTTCTAGGCCACTGCTGTCGTTGGATAGCGCGAGGCCGTCGACCACTGGGCCCCAACGGGTCAGTGAACCACCACCCTTCACCAGTAACTCGGCATCCACGTTCCGCAAGCACCCGGTCAACGTGTTCCGGAAGCAGTTGAACTTGTCGGCCAGAGCATCCAGAACCGCTTCCGGTCCGTCCGCGGTAATCACGGCTGTACGAAGCAGCGCGTTCCCACTCATGCTGATCGCTCGGTGGAACTTGTCCCGGGACCCGGGTGACACCACGTGCAGGCCCACGCTCACCGCGCCCGAACCCTGACCGAACACCGTCACGTTCTGCGCCGCGCCGCCAAAGCTTTCGATGCTCCGCTGCACCCAGTCCAGCGCAGCTGCCTGGTCCATTAGTCCCCAGTTGCCAGACGCCTCCGCAGTGTTGTCCGTGTAGAAGCCCAATATGTTCAACCGATAGGCCGTTGTCACCACGATCACCTGCACAAATCCAGATAACACATATTTTATATATTAATATAATATTATGTAGAAGGTACCTACTGATTTGTTGATTATTTTTACTTAGGAAAAAAACACATTATATCACTCAGAAGAATTATTTAAAGAATTTAATGTTCTAAAATGTCAATAACTTTGGTAGAAATACCTCCTATTATTAATTTCAAAATAAACTTACTATATATTTGTAAACCGAAAATTGTTAACATGAATAGGCAACTAATGAATCATTAACATTATATCATGAACTTATTATTATAATATAGAATCAATAATAAAATCAGATCTACTTTCCGTACCAATAGGCTTAACTTTCCTAAGAAAAGCACCAAAAGAAATTTTAAAACTAAGCCATGATGGCTCTTTAAATATATTTTGCAAAAATTCGTAAAAAGTTAGTTATTTACAATGGATTATAAAAAAATATTAAAAAACGTTTCTTCATCAATGATGAATTTCATATTTATGTAAATATAATATTCATAAACATACGCTAATAAAGTAATAACATAGGTAGCTTACTTTAATATTATTGAATTTAAAAAATAATACCATGTATATCGCCAATAAAAGATTTCTTCTATTGCAATATTACCTATATATTATAGGTGGCCGATAATACCCAAGAAGAAGAAGAAGAAGTATATACAGTTAATTGTTATTCCAACAAAAATACTCCTCAATACTCCGTGTAAAAAAAAAAACGCTAAGCTAAACTGCTCTAAATGTTGTTTTTTTTTACACGGAGTATGGTGGAGTTTATTGTTGGGATATCACTCACTTTTTGTTTATACTGTACTGGTTGTGAAATATAGTATTATATAAATATTAAAACCTTTGTACTATTAAACTATTTTATTATAAAGACAACTTATTAAATAACGATTTGCAATAAGTAGAAAACTAAAAAGTAAAAACGAGAGTGAAAATATAAAAAGTGTGCGTGTGTGTGTGTGAAAGTGTTACCACTGTTCCTACACTACTCCCCCCCCCACGAGTAACGGAGTCGGTTATACATGATAACAGATGACAATAAACATAAATAACAATAATTATGATAATAAATAAAGTAAAAATCACGGACTAAGATAGAATATTATACAACATTCTAAGTTATTCAGTCTTAAAAGTTAATATTTATGGTACAATTGAAATAATAACAATTCTAACATTACTAGAAAGATGTTTTGAAGCTCACTGATTTATTAAGTTTCACCTTCACTCCGTAGGAGCGGTCATGTTGGATTGTGTCTTCTTGTGGTAGGAATGCAGGTTTCAGTCTGTCGATGGATATGTTTTTTGCATTTCCGTTGATGTTGATGTTGAAATGTTTTTCAGTCCTGATATTGACTTTGAACGGCCCACCGTACGGCATTGGTCGCGATTTTCTTACAGAATCATGTCGTACAAATACATGATTTGCTGTTTTTAATTCTGGTTCTACAAACGGTTTCCTGTTTGAGTTATGAATTGTTGATGTAGGTTTCAATTCAATGCGCCGCGGAAGCAATGCGAAAGCAGAGCCCGCGGCGTCGTCGGTTAAAACAGAAAAAAAAAAGGTTTCAATTCATTGAAATTTTCTTTCAGTTGAGTTACTAGTGTTTCTGGTAGTATATCTGAAGTATTTCCTTCTTCAAAAAAATCCGCAGGTAAACTCAATGTTTGTCTATATATTATTTCTGCTGGTGTTATGTTAGCATCTCTTTTTAATGCCCATCTTAAACCTAATAATATAGTTGGCAAAGTGCTTACCCAATCTAACTTCTCATAAGCTATGATTGTTTGTTAAAGTGTCCTATGAAAACGTTCAATTTTTTTCCATCGGCCTACGGGTAGTACGGCGTAGTAAGTGATCGTTGTATGCTTAGTAAGTTGGCAAATGCTGTGAACAAATTACTTTCAAATTATCTTCCCTGGTCTGTGGTGATTTTTTCAGGTATTCCAAATCTGGATATCCATGTGTCGAAGAAAGCTTCAGTTACTGTTTCTGTTGACATGTCTGGTAATGGAATCACTTCGGGCAAAACAGGTACACCTATCAATACATTTTAAGCAATATCTATTTCCTTTTACTAGTGGAAGTGGTCCTATAAGATCAATATGGACATGACGGAACCTGATCGCTGGTATACTAAACTTCTGGAAACAACTTAGAGTATGGCGTTGCACTTTTGCTTTTTGACATTGAATACAACATTTTGCCCACCTTGTACAGTCTTTTCACATGGATTTATGTATCTTGATGCTATTAGTTTCCTTGATTGTCGTTGCCTTGGATGTGCAAAGTTGTGGACACAGCTTTTCTGAAATTAACTGGTATGTATGGACGAATATTGTTGATGGATGTGTCACAGTAAATGTGTGTATTATTTGGACCAAATTTTAATTTTTTAATACTAGACCTGTGTTACAAGGCCAAAAAATAAAAATAATAAAATAATAATAAGTGTTGTTTTTCCGTACGTGTTGATTGCAGTGTTATTAGCTGCAAATAACTTTAATTCTGAAATGCTATCGTGTCTTTTCGTAGATGGTATGATAGAGATATCAGATCCAGTATCTATGAGAAACTAGTGACCTGATATCCTATCCTGAACCGTTAGACGATAACTTGCATTAATATTTTGGCAGTCTGTAGAAGGCATATCTACCACTGCCATAGGAGTTATGATTATTAGTTTTCCTGGTTAAAAGTGGTGTAGTGTTTGCTAGGCTCTGAACACTTTTTCGCTTTAATTTTAAAGTTTATGTGATAAAAGCATAAATCATCTTTAGGTTGTTCCAATTGTCGATATTTTGAACTCGATTTTGATCTTGGTTGGAAGGTCCTGTCGCTACGTGACTGCCGTTTTATTTTTTAATTTGGCGACTTTCTTTAATAATGTTTGAAGAAGTTCTGTTGTATGGTCTGACAAAACTACGGCTAAGCTTCGGGGCTGTCTGATCTCTGCCACCGGGTCTGCCAATCTTGCGAGTTCATCTAATGATCCTTTTGTAACAGCGAGGCAAGACTGTGTGGTTATTGGAAGATGTTGAAGCCACAATGACTTCAATATATCAGCACTCAACGTTATACCTCTGAGGCGTTGCATTTCGTTGACCAGTACCGATGGTTTTCTATCACCTAATTCGACGGCGCTCAATAACTTTCTCAATTTTTTTTTTACTATATGTGTAAATATCAATTAGACGTGTTTTTAGAGTATCATACATTTCCGTTACTGGTGGTACTTGAATGATATCTGCGACCAGTGTTACCACTGTCCCCACAATACCTTATTATTTTGGGAACATATTGGTTTTACAATGATATTTTTTTTTTTTTTTTTGTTTTGTTTATTGGTTGCCATAGGTGTCGGATAATGCTTTGTTTTACGAGCAACGGGGAATATTATCTAATAAAATATTGAAAATACGCTTCAATAATTGCTAGTAAATTGGATATACCTCTGAAAGTATTGTTCAAAATGATTTGAGAGCCACACGAAAAACTTCTAGGTAAAATTTCCAATTAGATTATTGTATTTTCAAACTTCATTATTCAACTACAAATTTGATATGCGTTTTCAAGAAATTGTTTTCATGAATCATGTTACTTCCTGTAATAATGGTCTGGCAGTTTTCGCGTGTATTTCGACTATAAATATATTTTAAAGCTCACTTTTCTGTTTATACTTAACACTACCCAGCCGGGTCGTTGGATTATAAATTATAATATGAATAACAAATTCAAAATTTTAAATTTATTTCAAAATTATTGATATATTTTTTTTATAGTAACTTAAATAGTAGGGACCTACATTTCATTCGGTGGTAGATAAATATAACTTTATAAGTTTATCTAATCTTATATAAGGAATAAGTGACTATGTAAAATTTAACATAGGTAATTTATTGGATTGAATCGTTTATCTTGGCACATTAACATAGATAGATACTAGATTCTAGAATATTATTGTTTAAAGTTTGTATAGGTCAAACGCCTTGAAATTAAAAGGAAAGTTATGCTTGTGACCTATATGATTCTATAAAACCATAATTAACCATAACAAAATATTTTAAATTTACTTATTGATATCTTAATGATTTGTATGTAACCATTTTTTAGCTTACGACTTTGAGATCTTTGGAATTTACTTTAGAATTATAGTTATATTTCACATAGGTAAAGAATGTGACATATTTGTCTGTTACTATTAACTGACCATGATTGTATTATATGTTTGAGAAAGTATACAGCTGTAAAAGATAATAATGTACGTTTAAATGTTTTGAACAGGGGTGTTTTCATCCAGCCATTATAGCTATAGTCTATATTATTATGACTGGTGAACGTACTTTGTGTCTAGCGGCCAAAACCGAAGCGTCCCAATAAATCGGTGTTCCCCAATGAAAATCTCCAGGATGAAACCAAACCATGACCGGGAACTTTTCTTCTGGCACCGCACCTATATAGAATAAAAAAAAACCAAATAAATATACATAATGTTAAATTTCATGGATAGGCACAAATAAGAGCAAATTGTATAGTTAGACTATATTAGTAAAGGAATAGTCATAATTTTAAATAAAATACTCTAAATTAAAGGTTTTTGAAAAATACCATAGGCATGAAGGACTCTCATGAAATAAAATATGAGCTTATATGCATTAATTCATATGTATTTTAGGGATGAAAATTACAAAGTACCAATCATTCTATTCATGATTTAGTTCAAGCATGAAATCAAAAATTAATTGAGGCTAAAGACACGTGCCTCCAACTTCCCTATTTGTCAAAAGTACTTATTTTTACATTAAAATATATATCACGTGATTATAATCATTTACTTGAACACGTCCGGGCCAGCCATCTAATTTTCTGAGTTTTACACGTAGTTCGAGACTGATCATTCAAATACTATTATGGGATCCATTGAGCACGTCTGAATTGGTCCAGATTGGTAAAATACTTCCCAGTATTAACCTTATAAAGTAAAAGGATATCTAAAAATATACTTCGACTAGTTGGGCCCTCCTACGGACTAAGACAAATTTTTAGTCTACGGACGATATATCGTTAAACTTAGTTTTGGAAGTCTGTGAGCGTGTGCGAATAAACTATGTCAATTGTGTGTTAAACGTTAACATGTGTTTTTGAAATAGGGGAGGTTATGGCGTCACTAGTACAGTCCCTCTCCACTAAATTTTTGATTCATAACAGCGTCCCTCATATTTGTTGGCACTAGGCGATTCTCAGTATTTTCTATTGTATCTATTTGAATATTGTACTTGTCTTATGAGTTATGATCATACAACATACTCTCTCACTTGGTATAATAGTAAGTAAGCCAAACACGTCTTATCATCAATGATGGGAAACTTGGCAAATACAAAACAAAATTACAAATTATTTAACAAACACTCTTTAATTAACTCAAAAGTTCCAACTTACGCACCACATGTACCTACTTGTTTTATTTTCTTTTATGCAACACCAATTATTCAAAAAATCAACTATTACATAAAATGATGAGTACCTATAATACAGAATAAGAATGCATCAACTATATTGCATTAATTATTTTGTACATATTATGTATTATATTTTGTATGTATTTATTATCTTTTATAGATTGGAGTATACCCCGTGTTGTAATAAAAAATATATATAAATAATATAATCTGTGAAACGTAATACACTATTATTAAATCCTTTATTATGCTCCTTTATTTTTTACGATTTCATTAAAATTAAAATTAAAACGTTTAAAACTTTATTATAAATTAAATAACCATGATTTTAATAATCATTTTTTCCCGACACGAGTATTATTAAAACGTCATGAGTATTAATTTATAAAAGTAAACTTTAAAAAAGTTCACAGCTACACTTAAAAATAGGAACTTGACAGAGACGTGGACTAAAAGTTTCGTTTCAATACGTATCATGCGGTTTCGTGAATAGTATGGTTCAAAACATGTAGGACAAAATATAATATAAATGAAAATTATTATAACATACACAAACAAGTAACAACAAACCGATCGCGTGTTATGTCACTGCACATATTTTGGCAATCGTGATAACTCAATATATTATGCTTCGATCGACGCAACTTTTGACGCATTTATATTGTGTAATAATAATTTTTGTATTCGGTTTATTTAGAAAATTGACCTTGCATCACTGCAACATTAAAACTTGACAATCGTTTATCGTTTATCGAGTTAACCCTAACGCTATATAGGGTTTGTTGTCATAAATGCATTATTACAATTAATACAAATATACAATACATACCTAAACGATAAACTTCATCATACTTTCTATAATCTGGTTTCATTTTAAGTCCAAATGAAATGTGTTTATATAAACCTATATAATATGTACTATATAAACGAAAACAATTACAAAACTATTAAGTATCATGCAAAATCAAGGTTGGCGACCTCGAATAATATTTTTTTCCAAAACCCTGTTCTCCGCACCCTTTCCATTATATTATTATATAATATAGTACAATAATACAATTTATACAATAAATACTAAGTTCGCCCACCTTTGAGCGTGATAATGTCACCTATTTCATTATTGCGTGTGTTTATGTACCTATCGTATAATACTATAATATTATAGTGATCATATCGTATAAATAATTATATAATGATAGGCTTACCTTATGCAGCTATTATAAATGTATTATACTATCCACCTTAAACTTTATAGTAACTTGTTACCGTCGAGATATGAAAATGATTTTATAACAACAGTCCCTGAAATTATTTCAAATGTCTGCCATCTCGTTTTCAAGATTCAATAAAATTCTTAATCTATTGCTTATCTATTAACTACTACAATTATTGTCCATTCTACTATCTAAGAAATGAACGAGCAATGAACGCCTCTTTGAATTTATTACTTCCTGTGAGCAAAAGCCACATTTCTCCTACGAGTATAATAATATGTCAATCCAGAACCGTTGCAAATTTTATCTCGCGTAAACCTTAGTTTTCTTCAATCAAACATTCACACTTCAGGTATTATAATATTTATTATTATTTATTTTTGTATACCGTACGGGGTACTTAGTTTGAACTCTGGTTTACACACAACTGCAGGTAATGGAAATAAATAAATACCTACTATAAAATTAAAAATATACGACACAGAGACAGAATTACTCTTATACTTATTAAAATTGTATCACTTATTTTTAAGAGTACTGTGTACCATATATGTGTATAAAAACGAAGTAGGTACCTTTCTATTTTCCAGGAGAGACAAAATACTTAATACCTCTGAAAAAAATTGAAGACAAATATTGAAAAATTCACATTATATAGACATTTTATAATGTACCTGGACCTGTGCTTCGTTTGCACAGAACGATATATTTATCGAACCTAAAGCAAAAATCTGTAAAAATGTGATTTTATGAAAATTATGGAAATGTGCCCTTTTTGCATCTAGTGATTCATCTAAATAACTGATGATATATAATAATATTAAAGATGTCTAATCACGCAGGTACATAATATTATTATAACAATATATCTAACATGTTATTGCAATCTATCTATATATGTGAATGTACCTATAGTTTTTCTAATCGACTGAATGTTCGTTTTAAAAGAAAACTTATTGCGCATTTACTCATGGTTTGACGGAATCGCATGCAAAACAAATGACTTACCTACGCGGGTTGCATTAGTAATATAACAATTTGTTTATTCAAGGTCGTGGGTACCGACCTAAAATAATTCACTTGGAATTACAGACATGAGACATATTATAATTATATATGAAGTATGAACTATACATTATGCGTTTTTTTTTGGTTTATACCTACCTACCTATTTGGTACCTGTTTAAACCATATTTAATCTAATAATATTTTTCGAAAACTTAAGCACACATATGCTGTTTAAATTAAATAAAAACCGAGATCAATATTTTATGAATAAATATATACGTGGTTGCATACATTTCTTCATCATTTGTACTTTATTTTTGCTAATTTTCACTTTGAACCCTCCCATAGTTTTAAAAATGTTTAAGCTTCTAACTCTAAATAAATTAGGACTTATCACTGTTTAATAAAACTATGTTACTATCTGTTCAAAAAATCCAAACACTCTAGCACTTTTGTAGATAGGAAATTGATCACTGATATGTACAGTGTCAATTTGTAATTGGTAAAATATGGACATATTCTTTGTAGTTAAAAATTCAAATTTCTAATAGTTTTTCAATTGCTTTGTAGAAAAGTGAAATTTATAGGCTAAAATGATATCCTATTTTCGCCATAAAGTAAAAACAAATTATTTAGTTCTGAATTGATAAATATTTTCAAGGTATATGGTTAGCTGATCACGTTAATATTTTTTAAATAGTAATGCGATTTGTTCCAATTGCACCATTAAACGCAAGATGCCAACCATTACAACGACCATCAAGTATGATGAGAAGATGGATATGAACATTTAAAAGGAATAATTGCTCATAACTCATAACCATAAATTGAAATAGTTAAGTGGTACTACATTTTGTATAGAGTTAAATAATTGTAGAATAACTTCTTTATTATTATTTATGTGTTAAATGTTCATTTTTAAACATTGGTTTTATTCAATAATAGTTACATCAATAATATAGATGTTTTAAAAATGTCAAGTCAATTTTTTTTTTAATTGAGATGTTATTCATAGGGGATATTTTGATAAGGTAAATTTTATGCAGAATATATTTTTTGTTCCCGGGATTATAAGGACCTAACCTTGACTGGAGATTTTTTTACGAGGAGAGGTTTAACCTAAGTGTTTCAATTATTATTTTTTTCTGTCAGTTGTAAAATGATCGTAAATTAACTAAACGCGAGTAATCAAAAATCGTATTGCTTATTGAATTTTCATGAGTTTGAATATTTACCTACGTTTCCAACCCTGGGTTACACTTATAATACCTATATAAGTATACACGGTATACGCATACGTATTATACTATATCGACTCGATTCGCTACCATCAGATTTTTTCCCTTTTATTACAACAAACAACAATATAGATTACTCCGTGCGTGCACGAGAAAAATAAACAAGGTCTGTTATTTTTTTCTTTGTTTTGCTGTCTTGCGTGATTCGAATTGACAATTTAGACGATTTTACCGTTCCGTGCAGTGTACTACGTTAAAATAAACGACAACCGGTAAGCGAATTATTACAGTTGTTTTTATTTTTATTATTATGAAAATTCATTCGTCTAACTGACTCTATATTATATTATATGAATAAAAAAAATTGTTATTTTAACATATTATATATTTCGCAAATAATAACGTATTTGATTTTAATCTGACGAAATAAAACACATCATATTATGTAAATAATACAAAGCAAACCTGTATTTTTATTAGAAATATTGTAAAATATCACCTACCTATATATTTCAGTATTTATAATATATTATA